GTTCCCTTTAGCAGGGTAAATATCCTGTATTAACTGTAATGGGAGCCGTATCTTCATGCTGGTAGAAGTTCAATCTCCTTATTCCAAGTTCAATTTAGTGCTTTACAACAAAAGCATTGTTCTAAAATAAATGTGACTGTTTGTATAATGGTGTTATAGCAGCCTTGTAAATTATTTGGGAAACTTAATTATGTTTCCACTGACAAAATTCTCTTATCAAATATTGCCCTCATTAGGAGATAGAAGTCTATGTTCCAAGGAAGTTTTGCCATTTGCCATTCCTGGTTGACTTCTGAAGAGGAAAACTCATGATAATGACTGTTTTTTCTGTTTTGCTTCACAGCCAGGATGTCTGTTGAGTTTAGAATAGGCACCATGCAGATTTTCTGGGCTGTAAAGAAAAGAGGAACCAGTATAAACTGAAGGGGGAAGAGAAACGAAGCGGAAAGCCACAGGCTGTAAATCTTTCTAAAATATTCCAGGAAATTTTGCTATTCTGCTTCACCTGAACCTTGTACAGATCTGAAGTGCCTCTAAGAACCTTGCCAACTATGGTTGAAATAAATAATATATGTAAAAGGGCAGCCTCTGGTGCTGTGGTACTGGAACAGTTCCTAGCCTTTTTGTCTAAGGATCTTCAGCCAAACTCCAGCAGCAGCAAATAGAGAAGAAGCTAAAGTCTGTTGGAGAACTATTCTTCCAGAAGCAATTCAAGAAACACCAGAGCAGCCAGGTGTAGTGGTGCACGCCTGTAATCCCAGTGGCTCAGGAGGTTGAGGCAGGAGGATCGCGAGTTCAAAGCCAGTTTCAGGAATTTAGTGAGACGCTAAGCAACTCACTGAGACTCTGTCTCTAAATATTAAAATACAAAATAGGGTTGGGGATGTTTCTTAGTGGTCGAGTGCCCCTGAGTTTAACCCCTGGTACACCAAAAAGAAAAAAAGAAACATCAGAACACTCAAACTGGATCTCCTTGTGCTTTTATTTATTTGTATATTTAAATAACATTTTTGTTTCTGAGGGGCTCCCTAAACCAGTGCCTTGCACAAAGTGCTGAACTATGCACCCAGGCTCCCAATGTGCAACTTCTTTAATGACCAATGAGATGATCAAAGTTTCATGTGCTTATTTGCCATGTTTTGAAAAATCAGATCATTTGTCTGAGTTGTAAGAGTTTATTTACTATGAAGACAAATACTTCACTGGTTATTTTTGCAAATATTTTCTCTCAGTTTGCCTCTTAATAGTGTCTTTTGAAGAGCAAAAAAGAAAAAAAAAAGAAAGAAAGAAAGAAAAATTTCCCTGTAGTTCTTCATTCTCGTGTCTTATCTTAAATAAACCTTTGCTTAACCTAAGGTCACAAATGGTATTTTTTGGTTTTGGGTTTTTTTAAAAAATATTTTCATCTAGGAGTTTCAGTTTTAACTCTTATATGTAGATTGGTTACCTATTTTATAACAATGTTGTATATGGTATAATGTAAGGGCCAAGATGCACTTTCTAGCAGATTTGCCCTTTACGGAACATTTCAACTTTCCCTTTAGAGGCTTAATGAGATGAGGGGAACAGATAATATAATGGTAAGGAGTCAGAGGAAACCCTCTCTCAGGTAAGGGCAAAACATAATGCTTTTGTACGAAATATGGGCCAGTTTTGAACTGCCTGGGTTGTTCAGGAAATCTCAAGGCTCGTGTATGGTTCAAGGTGGTCCTGGGCAGATAGTGCTTCCTGTTTTCTGGAAAGTAGCAAATGAAAGCCTTCCCTAGAAGCAGGTACCTTCATTCTAATCTCAAATTATTCCCATGAGTAGCTTCAAATACAGCCAAGCAGCCAGACATACACCTGTAGTCTCAGCTACTTATATCCACAAAGTGTGTCGTTTTGTCTGCCTGATTACTAGAAGCCTCCTCTGCAGTACATAGTCATGGCTCACTGGAGAGCAGAAACATCACTGTTGTGCCACAGTAGTGGAACTTGCTGGAAATCTGCCCTTCAGAACTTGCCAGAAATCTTCCCTCTAGGGTGCAGAGGAAAACGAAAACCATTTACTGGGAAGCAGCTCATTGGAGGCACTCTGTTACAAGACTGCCAAGAACATGCAGGCAACTGCTGCCAGGCAGGAAAGGCTGCTGCTAGGTCCTGGAGAAGCTGGCTGCGGAGTTTGCCTTGCCAACACATCAAAATGGGAAGGAAAGCCCTCCTTCCTGCAATGTCCCTCCAGCGCCTTCTACTGACAATCGCAGCTCCACATTCCTTACTATAGGGAAAGGATTGATAAGGTCCATTTTATGTTAGTAGGAAAATAAGGATGAATTTTAATAAATTGCTAGCTGCACCATACTGGATTGGGAAGCAGATATTGCCTTGGTTTCTTTGTAGATATGATACAGGATCTGGCTTCTAGATTCACAGCCTTGCTACTTAAAACATTATCATCATCTGGGGAGGGAGGGGTGAGTGGAGGGTGTTAGAAATGCAGAAAGTTGGTTCCCACTTCAAACTTACTGAATCAGAATCTGCCTTTTGACAAGATCCCTCAGGGATTCATATACATATTCAGGGTTGAGAAAACAGTGCTCTGGAGCCTAGATGTACTTGAGAAGCAGATGGAAGATGAAAAACGAAAAGTCTCAAACCCAAATAGCAGGTGAGGACTTTGACCAAACTGAGGAATTCATATTTTATGTAAAACAGGTAGTTAGTACTTTACCCTAAGCATTTATCCTAAAGGAACACAGGACCACTACTTCCAGTTTCTTCAGTTTTAAGAGATAATTGAGTAGTATAGCTTTTTGGAGATATAGCTCAGTTGGTAGAGTGCTTCGTTCATATGCACAAGGCCCTGGGTTCATCCCCAGTACCATCACCACCAAAAAAAAAACCCCTTAAATATTTTTAAAGTATAAAATCAAAATTTACATGTTGAGAATGAACTTAATTTTTAAACAATGAGTCAAGTAAAACATATCAACATACTAGTTTTTGCCAAAGTTAGTAGCTTGTGTCTTCTGTTAAACCTTGTCCCCAGAAAAGTGCACATGTGCACCTTGAAACACATATTTTAGGAGGCAAACAGTAGTGTCTAATGGAACTTTCTGCAGTGATGGGAATGTTCTATCTGTGCTGTTTTGTATGGTAGCCAGTAGCCACACGAGGCTATTGAGCACCTGAAATGCAGCAAATAAGACTAAAGAACTTAATTTCTAATTTGCTTTAATTTAAATTTAAACTGAAGTAACCACACGTATCTAGTGGTTACTACACTGGGCACACGGACAGCCTACATGCCATGGGTTAAAACTCCTCTGAAACATCTACTTTCTCAAAGCTTTCCTTTTGAGGCAGTTTTGCATTTAGGTAAAACAAAGTTGGCTGCTATGTTAAGTTTTAAAAGAATGGCCCTTTAAGTTGTCAGGTACTAATTTAGTGAAATGTAAATTTTACTGAATTTGGAAAAAAATGGTCTTTGCAGATGTAATTAAATTAAGGATTTTGATCTGAAAAGATTGCTCTGGATTATCTGGGTGGGCCTTAAATACAACCACATGTATCTTTAGAAGACAGAAGTAGAAGGACACTTGAAGATGCTGGCCTTGAAGACTGAAGTGATGAAGCCACAAGCCAAGGAATACTGGTTTCTACCAGAAGCTGGAAGAAGAAAAGAATGAATTCTCCCCCTAGAACTTCAGAGCAAATATTTCCCTGCCCTGCTGACACCTTGACTGACACCCAGTGAAACAGATGTTTTGCTTCTGGCCTCCAGAACTATGAGGGAATAAAGTTTTATTTTAAGCTGCTAGGTTTGTGGTCATTTGTTATGGAAGCAACTAATTTGGTTGTTCATTGTTTTTTGTTTGTTTTTAACTTCAGTCTCTGAGATCTGGCTATATGATGGAACCCATACCCATGAATTCAACCCTGACATCTTGTCAAATCTTACAGCTTTTCACAGTTCCTCATTCTCTTTCCATTTTCTCCTTCAATCACTTGTTGTGACTTCACATCCTGGCCAAATATCACCCTTGTTTCAGAGTCCTCATTGCCTAGAGTCATTTAACCCAAATACATCATCTTAATAAACACATTGCCTTCTGCACTTCTAGGCTATCATGCTATTTGTGCTGCCGGTTGGAGGGTTGGGGATTGTTTGATGTAGGAGTTTCCTCAAAAGTAATGTCATTGTAATTTGAGAACAATTTTAAATTGTAATTTTTCAGTGTCTTCAAAGTTAGTGTCTTTGCTTCCCCCCCTAATGCCCTAGGTCATACTGAGTAGTAAATCAGCCTTTTCTTTTTTCACTTCGGGCTCCAATACTAACATACTCTTTTTTTTTGGGGGGGGGGGTTTACTAAAAGGGTTTTAACCTTGTTATTGCTGTTTATGAATAAGCGAATGGCTTTCTAGCATCTCTGTCCTGTCCCTAATTTCCCACTTCTCTCTACATTTTCCAGGACTCCCTTAGAAACTGGAGGGTGAAGTTAGGATGCTGGGCTGTTATATTTTTTAGTTCCAAACTTTTTTCAATTACACTTAAAGTCACCTGAGGAAATACAAGCGTGTGCACCAGTGACGAAATGAGTGTGGGGACAGGCTCTCACCTTTTTAAGTACCACTATGTCCTCCTATGAAAAACATGGGAGTTGGGAGATTTTTCTTGAAACGTCCTACTCGGGGCATAAGCACAGTCAGTAGCACGGAGGGCATCAGAGGAACGCTGTGCCCAGAAAGCACGGTGGTCCTCCCACCCCCACCACATCTGTGACCTGGGCAAGTCCAGAAACTTAGGGTTTATTTTTGTAAAATGGGGATAACTTTACCTAGTTGTAAATGACATGATGTTACGTAGAAGCACTCGGAGAGATAGCAGCGCCGGTTTATTGGAGCCCGACACAGAGCAGCAGGGTTCCCACCGCGCCAGGCGACTCCCGGTCACTCGCCCCCAAGCCCGCAGTAGGAAGCCAGGTCAAGCGCCGCTCGTCTCCAGGGCAACCGCTCGCGCATCCCGAGCCCCGCCCCGCCCCGCCCCGCCGCGAGGACCGGAAGCAGCTTGGAGCCAGGCGTTCCCGGGGTTTCTCCCAGGCGGCTGTGGGCCAATCCTTCCCAGCTGGGAGGTGAGAACCCGGGGTGCCGAAGCTGCGGGCAGAAGCGGCCATCACGGGGTGGGTCGGGCGCAGACCTGGCGCCACCTGTCCCTCTGCCGCAGGCGCAGCTCCTCTGCACCCCCGTTGGGGTCCTCTCGGCCCCCCCATCTCCTGCCCCATCTGGGCTGGCACCTCCCCTTGACCTTCCAGGTGCTTCTGCCCCTCCAGCTGAACCCGCGCCCGCGCCCCACCCACAGCCCGCGCGCCCCGCACGGTCTCGCCGAGGCGAGATGGGGGAGCGGGAGGAAGGGGTGGTCGGGGCGAGTCCCATACCTGCCCTCCCAAGGAGAGTTTAGAGTGGTTCTTCCCCGCAAAGACTCCTAGATCCAGGGGTCTGGGGGCAGCCATGGCTCCAGGGACCCCACCCCTTATAGGTCATTGTGTGATGTTGGGGAAATCGTGCCTTCTGTAGAGCTGAGAGAGTTGCAGAGACAATTGATTCTTCCCCAGACGATGAAGTGGCAGTGTTTCCCTGGTGACTTTCTCCTGCGACTTCCAGAAGGTTCCTTCAGCCTTAGGGTCCCTCACATGGTTCCTAGAGTTCCTGGAAGGCTCCATTTCTTTTACCCTTCCCTTACTCTTTTCTGGCCCAGGTTCATCTGTGTGTGCTGCTTCTGGCCTTTTTCTTTTCTGCACTGGGCCTGTGAGCAGTAGTCCCTCAAAAGGCCTTGCCTGCCTCTGGCCTCATGACCACACAGCACCTGGAAAAATGTGAACCTCTTGGATTTATGCCCCTGCCCTGACCTTTTGTTCTTGGCCACTAAACCTAGCTTTTTTAACAGGTTCCTTATCGACCACATGGAAATAAAAATAACCTCCTAGGGCTTTTGTGGGGATTTTAAGTGTGTTTTATTTATTGAGGGCTTGGAACAGTGCTTGACACATACTAAATCCTGTATGTGTCCACTATTATTTGCCTCATACCATAAATTATATAAAGTTGTATCATTTATGCAATGTTTGTGAAGCCACAAACTTTATTCAGGTAACCATCAGGTCTCAGTATATATAAATGCTTGGTGAAGTGAAAGGGAATCAAATAGCAGCCTATAAAAAGAGGAAAAGTGATAGGGGCACACCTAAGATTTTTAAATTAGTCATTTCTGAACTTGTACGATCATTATAACATACTAGTGTCCAGCTTTTAAAATGTGATTAGTTATTGGTGTTGCATATCCTAAAATGGTACTAAGAAAATGGTCTTTCCTGCTACCTTCCAGCCAACAAGCTAATAATAACTTACAGAAATCATCACCTTGACTCATTATTGTATTACTGGTGGCACTGTGAATTGATATGGTCTATTTTGCAATTTAGTTGAATGTACATAGCAAGACAGAATTTTTAACACTCTTTTGACCCCAATAAGCAAAGGCCTTGGTACATGCTTGAAGGAAATGACCTGAAAGGAGAAAAATAGTATATTCATGAAGATGATCCTCCCAGCATTAATTGTAATAGTGAAAATTAGACACATGCAAATATTCTATAATAGTTGAGTAAATAATATAGATGTTATGATGGAAAATAGAAGCAATTATGAAAATGGGATTACATTTAGATACATGAATATGGCATGTTTTTTTCTTTTAAATGTTTTAACGTCAAAGTAACATTATTTTAACAATTAACGTAAGAATTCACAGCAAGTACTACTCTCATAAGACTGTTTTATCCAGCTCTTTGCAATAGATTAGATAAAACTAATTGATTCTTTGAATGTGCTCCAGAGTCATAGCTTTTCCGGGGTTTCCCTTATTTAATTCTTTGGAAGCTCCTTTGAAATCCTGGCTGATCTCATTTTGTAATATTTAGCCTCATGGGCATGAATTTCAGAATAAATTGGGAATTACTCATGCACATGAATTAATGAGTCTTAACTCTTCAGTTCTCTAAGGAAGTATTCTTTGAAAGCATGGTTTATGTTGAGGTTAAGGTTGGTACTTTCTTGCAGCCTTATATTCTAATCTTAGTTGTTTGGTTCTGAGAAGCATTTGTCTTTTTTCTTTTTTAGTTGTATTTAAGGAGTGTCCATAAGGAGAGTACTGCCTCCTTGAGGGGAGAGCCTAGCAGTCCTGAGCCATTGCCAGTCAACATGTCTGCAAAATCGAGAGAGTCGTCAATGTGCCTCCCACAAACTCCACAGGAGCCCGACAGGATTTTAATAGTGAAGATGGAAGAGGAAGAACAGGCCTGTGATCAGGACTCCAGACTCCATTGGAGCAACTGCTGTAGCCCAGAGACCTTTCGCCAGCGTTTCAGGCAGTTTGCCTATGAGGATTCACCCGGGCCCCAGGAGGCTCTGAGCCAGCTCCGGGAACTTTGTCATCAGTGGCTAAGGCCAGAGGAGCACACCAAGGAGCAGATCCTAGAATTGCTGGTGCTAGAGCAGTTCCTGGCCATCCTGCCTAAGGAGCTGCAAGCCTGGGTGCACCTGCACCCACCAGAGAATGGAGAGGAAGCTGTGACTCTGCTGGAGGATGTGGAGAGAGAGGTTCATCAGCCAGCTGAGCAGGTAAGAAGGGCACCTGCTGGGGCATGACTGTGGCAGGTCATGGGAGGGGTGTGCTATCAAATCCTATTCCCACTTAGCACAACTGGAGGTGCTGGAGGTATGGGCTACGAAATGTGTTCCTGTATATCTCAGGAAATAGGATGTCTGCACATTTTCCCTCCCTTTTCTTGTGTCCAGGGTACTTTCTTCTGTGTTATTTTATCTTCAAGTCCCTATCCAATGTGCTTCTCCAGCCTCAATTATACCTAACTCTTCCCAGGTCTTTTTTGGACAAAGAAAGGACAGAACTGCAGAGAAGGTGGCACCTTGGGAAATCACTGAGGACTTAGCAAGCAGTCAGCTCAAGCCTTTGAAGAAGCAGTTCCAGTGGGCACCGTGGGAGCTACACTCCTTAGGACGTCATGGTGAGGGTGCAGGGGGCAGGACTTAGCTCATGGTGGGGATGAAGGGGCTCCAGCCTACCAAATACAGTTGGCTGCTTTATTAAAGAGGTCCCAAATCTCTTGTCTCATCCTCACAGTGGGAATTTCCAATTATTTGTCCTGTTCAATGAACAGTCTTGGTATTTGGGTTTTGTTTCTTTTTTATAGATTCTTAGAAAATCTTTAATTATAAAATCCTTGAATCAACTCCGTCAGGATTTTCAAACTTTTTTAAAGTATGGCATGACCTTTTCTCATATGAAATTTTACAAGGAATTCCATTATATAAACCAGAGGAAAACACAGCTACTTTGTCTGAAGCAGGAGTGGGCAGTCTCAGCCCACAAGACCTCCAGATCAGCCTCATTCTCATCTTTTCCCTTCAGGAAGCCTCTGAGGCCCTTCTGTGGGACTTCAAGGTACGCAGCGTAGCCGCTAAACTGTCTCATCAATTTCTGTGTAACCGCTTGCTTAGTTACTTGTGGGAGTTGCCCACAGTACTCCTGAGATGACTTGGCTCTGTCACAGCTCTGAATATATTTCTCTGCTCCTTCACATCCTAACTGGCTTCTTTTGCTCTTTGCATCAGTTTTTACAAAAACGCTCCAAACTGGCTGACATAGCAATCTGTTCTTCCATTGCAGAAACTTAAAAAATGAGTGTTACGGGAAGAAAACAAAGCAGAAATAAGGGGGTTGAATGCCAGAGATCAAGAGAGAAATCCCATTTGGGAAGGATTGCTATACACACACACACACACACACACACACACTGCTTCATATTCCAGAAGTGGTTGATCAGCTAAGCAAAGTTAGGTTTTTTCCAAGGAAGTTTTGATAAGAAACTACAGGAAAATGAAAATATAGAAATTTAGAGAGAGATTTACTTTTGCTTGGCACTTAACACCCCTAGTCTCAAAATCATCTTGGCTTAACCAAGAAGATTAATTGTTGGAAAAAAGTGAAAGTCTTTCCATACTCCACTAAGAGTAGGAGGGTAAACATCCCCTTCTGTTATGGTGGGAACTATAGAAGTGATCATCCTCAAAGCCAAGGCCTGTGCTCCTGGTATTGTTAAGGACCATGTTCCTCCTGTGAATGTCCTCACAGGACCTTTTCTACATTTTTAAAAAAATGAATAAAAATTTGAAGCAGCCAAAGACCCCAGGATTTTGCAATACAAAACATACAGAACCAGGACAGGATAACAACCATCGCTCAAAGCCACAGCATGATTTCAGTGGTGTGGTACTCAATCATGTTTTATCAGGGCTTCTACAGATGACCTGTGTCTCAGTACTCTAAAGTGCTAACTTTGCCAATATTTTGATAGTAGTGACTAAACTTTGAGGTCACTTTATAATGTGAGCTATCAAAAATGAATTTGAAACAAAATCTTTACAACTTATAAAATGGTAATTATAAATAAATTATAAACATGTAATTATAAATAAACATGTAATTTGTGAACAAACGCAAGAAATAATTAAATTCATTTTGTAATAACTATATGTAGACCCATTTTAAGTTAATTCTAAAGATTAAAAAACACTCATAATTCTCTTAGCAAGTATCATACACAGTACTAACATCTTTTCTCCCTCAAATCACTTTGTTATTCTTTTGATTAGGCCTTGAGAGGACCTACAGAATCACTTATCATCAGTCCCTCTCTGTGTTTCCTCAGTCCCATTTATATAATTATTTCAGATGAAGGAACCTCCTGCTGTCACAGTTAATCCCAGCCAAGTCATATCCTCAGCCATTCCTCAAATTGCCCTGCTTTGTTTTTGTAGATTAATTTTAATGGCCATCTGTGTTCAGCTTCCATTAAAATGCTACCCTGAGGATTGATGAAGTGATCCTTCAGTGAATACTCAAAAGTTGCCATTCTGTATAATAAGTTCTAGAGCTTCAGGCAGCCTGAGTCAGAAGGTACTCTGCATTAAGCCATATTTGAGTGGCTGCAGCCCCTAAGCAGATTTTTTTATAGATATTAAATGCAATATAAAAATAATATAGGAAACTGGGCTGAGGTTGTAGCTCAGTGGTAGAGTGCTTGCCTAGAATGCATGAGGCAATGGGTTCGATCCTTAGCATCACATGCAAATATAAAAAATAAAATAAAGGTATAAAAAATACAGGAAACTGAGCTATTCAACCAGTACTAAAATATATATATACAGGAGAGGTTTTCATAGATGGGTATTCTGTGCTGCCCTTTATCTTTTAAGGTGCCAATTTTCTTAGTCTCCCTTTTTTGTCTAAATTTTATTTTCTGACTTCATTTTCCATATTTCTTTTTGATCCCTTGGCTTTCTTCAGCTCATTTCTTAATTATTGATTCATTCATCATTACTAAGCTTTTGTTTATCAATGCTCTTACACTAAATCTTGTTTATTACTCATATTTGACTCCTCTCTTTCCAATTGCTCTTCTTCTCTAACAGTGCTTTATCTTTTAGGCCCTTTCTTTTCTCCCAGTCTTTCCTCAATCTCTGACATATCTTTTTACCCCTACTCATGATTCTCTGTTTTCCATGGAGCTTTGCATCTTTATATTTGGATACCTTTTTCTTTGCCTTATGATCTCAATATCTTATATTACCCTCTGCATCCTCCACATTGTGATGTTCACGAACATTCTTGCTAATAATTCATTTATTTTTTCATTTGGATCATTCTTTTCCCTTTCTTTCTGAACAGAAAACTGGTGACATTTACTTTTCTGTTTATTATTTCAGATGCAGACACCAAAACTACAAATGTAAAATCTGCTTCAAGGCAGAAGACTTCCTCAGGCATGGGGCTGTGTGCTAATACCCTTCATCTGAGTGCCTCCCAGAGTTTCATATCTAGAGGAACCTGGGAACAAGGTGGCAGGTTTGAAAGAAAACAGGGAAACCTCTCTCGCAAAAAACAACACAAGTGTGAAGAATGTGGCAAAATCTTTAGTCAGAGCTCTGCCCTTATTTTACATCAAAGAATCCACAGTGGAGAGAAGCCTTATGCATGTGACGAGTGTGCAAAGGCTTTCAGCCGGAGTGCAATTCTGATTCAGCATAGAAGAATCCATACTGGGGAAAAACCCTTCAAGTGCCATGAATGTGGCAAGGCCTTTAGTCAGAGTTCAAATCTTTTCAGACATAGAAAAAGACACACTAGAGAAAAAGTCCCATCAGTATCATGAGGGAATCAAAGCACATAGAGCTTTTACAGATAAGACCCGACTCAAGTAACAAACACACCTTTAGTATAAATCAGTGGTTTTAGTGGGCACCAGTTTCCTTTCAAGGGTTATAAAAGTCATGGGAAAGGATGTAGAATATCTCATGTCAGCATTATTTGCTTTTCTGCTTATCAGTGTAGGTCAGTTTAAATGTTTGAGATTACAAAGCTTAATTCAGAGTTTTATCCTTAAGCAGCCCTTGAAAAGACGTCTTCAGATGTATTTTACTATTTCCATTATCAACCTAAATGATGAACTAGTGTATTTCCTTTTTAGACAAATGTTTTTTTTCCCTTTTGAGAAGGAATGTGTTACTCAGTTTAAAAATAGATATTGTCCTGTGTTTCATAGATTAATCACTAGAATTCTGAAGACCCAAAATTCAACGGCTCTTTAAAATTTTTCCAATTTGGTCTTCTGTTACCAGATTTACACTATGAGAGCAGGATTGAGGAGGCCTGTTATGGCTTGGGTCTTAAATGTCCCCCAAAGGTTCATGTAGGAAAACTTGGCCCCTGGCTGATGATGCTCTGGGAAGGCTGTGGAACCTATAGGAGGTGGAGCCTAAATGAAGCATGCTGGACCACTGGGGTAGTGCCCTTGAAGGGTACGTTGGAATCCTGGCCCCTTTCTCTCTCTTTGCTTCCTGGCTGCCATAAGGTAAGCTGCCTCCTCCGCGTTGAGCTCTGCACTGTGAGAGGGACTATCTTGTCACAGGCCCAAGGACAACAGAGCCAAGCAATCATGGACTGAAACCATAAGTCAAAATAAATCTTTCCTCCTTTTAAGTTGATTTTTCTGGGGTATTTTGTCACAGTTATGGAAAGCTGACTAATGTAAAATTAGTACTGAGAAGTGGGGTCATTGCTGCAACTACACCTGACAGTGTAAAATGGGTTTGTGAGAGGAGTTTGGAAATGTCTGGAGGGGCAGACTAGAAAAACCCTATAGTGCTGTAAGTGGAGCTTAATAGAGATTGATGGGTGAGCAGAAGACCGGTTTCTGTAGGAATGCAGACAGTAAAGGTTGTGCTAATGAAGCTTTGGCTGGAAATGAGGACTCCGTTAGGAATTCAACTAGCAGCTATTCTTGTTACAATTTAAGCAAAGAACTTCTCTACATTTTGGCCATGCTCTCAGACTTTGTAAGAGACTGGATTTAAAGGTAATGGACTAATTACTAATTAACTCCCAAGTTTTCAATTCTGCAAATATTTCAGTGACATAGGTGTATTAAAATAGGTTTGAAATCAAATCTGAAATTTATATATCCTTTCTTGTCAATGAGAAAAAAATACAGATAGTCCTATAAATAGGACACTGGGACAACATAGTATCTTTTACATATATGTTTGCAATTCTATAAACAGGACATTGGGCACATATTACATAATGTACAAAGAACTAACTTTCAACAGTTATTTTTTGGTGTAAAGAAGCAAAGCACTTCAAACAAAGGGTTACATTACATTTTGGATAATATGTTGGTTTCCCAATACATGGTTTGTTTTTACATCATAGTTGTTCCTGCTTTTTGAGAATAATATGGCTTTTCTTGTTAAATCTGACATCATCTTGAACAGTAATAGGTCCAGAAGTATTATATTTTCTTCCTGATGGGTTCTCCTTCCATAATTTTAAGTATGATAAGCACATGTCTCTTTGGGAATTCAACAAGCTTATGAGGTCTTTCTTATCTTTGTTCACAAATTTGATAATAATTTATGCACATATCAATTATTTAAGTGAAAAAAGGCCAATAGCAATTTTTAACCTCTAATAAAGCAAAATATAAACCTACCAATCATGTTTATCCACACCACCACTGAAATTATTACAGGTACACACTACCCTTGGTTGAGTCACACTGGCTCTATTCTCTTTTACTTTGTCAACTTGTTCCACTGTATTTTAATTTATTCCAGTCATTTATTGTGTAACCATTTTACAATAAGAATTTCATTATTTGTATCAAATCTGAAATTATACAGCCTTCTTGCTTGTTTTATTCATTAGTGTTGTCAGTTTCAGAGGACACTGATTAGTCTGTTTCCCCTCATGGTGTGTGTAACTTGGAATCCAATATTTCAAAGGTATTTCAAGAAGTCATAAGCAGTGAATAAATTGTTGGAAAAAACAGGGTATGATTGTGAATTATCTACCACTTGTATAAGTCTCTCCTAATAAGTAGATAGAACTAGTTTGTCTAAAAAGAAAATTACTATGACTTAGACTAAAGTTGATAAAGATTAGCATGCTATTAGCATCCTCATTAGATTGATTCATTTTCGGGGATAATAAGTACTCCAAAATGAAATTGGCAATGTTTTACAAATATTACTTTACCTGGACCATTAATATTACCAATAATCCTATGTTCTGTCTTTACTTCTGTTGTCTTCAGAGACCAAGTCAGATGTTCATTACTTTTATTCATCTTTCTGTATTAGTTTGGAATGCTTGCAGATGCAAAATCCATCTTTGGTGGCTTAAACAGAAGTTTACAACCTGAAATTCAGAAGGTAAGTTGCTGCTGGTTCTCAACAGCAGCAAGACAGTGATTGGTCTGGTCCTTTTGGCTCTTCTCTCATGCTTATTTTCTTGGGTTTTAGAGCTGTCCAAGCTCCAGGAACTACATCTGGAGTCAAGACAGGAAGGAGGAGGAGGTGCTGGTCATGCCCATATCCTTGATTAGGAGGAACAATAGTTTCCAAGAAACCCTAGCAAATTCTGCTTATGTTTCTTTATTGCCTGTTCAGCCTCTAGAGGGAAAGCAACAGGGCCAAGGGGAATTTGGACTGAGACTCAGGTCAGGTCAGTTAGCAGTATTAGCCACACTGACCCATTGATTCCTTCCTTTTTATAGGCAGATGACTATGCTTTTGACTACTGCATTATAGAAAAAATGATGAGGACCCTAACAATCTCCTGCCACTAAATTTTCCAACTTATTTGTACTCCACCCATTTTTCCTCTCTCCTTTCTCTCAGGATAAAAGAGAGCTATCTCCTTTGATCCTTACCCTTCCTTCCCATGTATTTTAGTCACCTTTTCTGTTGCCATGACAAAGCTTAACAAGAACAATTTTAGAGGAGGAAAAGTTTATTTGGAGGCTCATGGTTTCAGAGGTCTCAGTCCGTGGACAACCAACTCCATTGCTCTGGGCACGAAATGTGACAGAACATCATGGCAGAAGAGAGTAGTGGAGGAAAGTAGCTCAGGACATGGCCACCAGGAAGCAGAGAGTTTTCCTCTCACCAAGAACAAAATATATAACCCAAAGCTGTATCCCAGCAACCCACCTACCCCAGCCACACCCTACCTGCCTATGGTTACCACCCAGTTAATCCCTATCAGGGGATTAATGCATTAAGACTCTCACCCATTATTTTACCTCTAAACTTTTTTGCATTGTTTCACATATAAATTTTTGAAGGACACATCACAGCTAAACCATAACACCAGTCCATAGGGCTTTGGCTGCCACTGCTCATTCTCTCTCTTCTGCTTCTTTACCCACTGTCTTCCTTTAGGATCCATCACTTCAACATTTAAAAATGCTGTTGTGATCTCCCTCCAACTTAAACTTTTCCAGCATATATCTGCAAAATCAAGGTGGTAGCTAGTCTCTGAGTGAGGGGACACTTAATGGTTCTTGATTTTGCCCTCATCATATACATTCATTTCTTTCTACCAGAATAATCTTTCTAAAGCACAAATGGTATCATGTTCTTTCTTGCTTAAAGTGGGTTTCCCACTGCTTTTAGGATAGAGTGAGACCTGCTTTATGAGTTTTTGAGGTTTTTTATGATCTGAATACAATGGCACTTACAATTTTCTCTCTTGCCATTGGCTTCTTTCATGCTACAGCTATTTTGAATGATCAGAAGTCCTTCTCCTGACTCTGCACCTTAATGTGTCTTTTTTGAACTTCTAGACAGCTTCCACATGTCATCACACCCCCTTGTATTCCTCATGTTCTCATTAAAGTGCCACTTCCTCCAGGAAGCCTTCCCTAACAGCCCAGGAGTAGGTTGAGGAACAGCACCACTCTGCTATGGATCCCATAGCAGTCTAATCTGGCTTTATATTTATCACATGAAAGAAAATATTTTTTAAATATTAAACTGTGAATATGGCCCCATGAAAGAGGAGGAAAATGAGTGACACTTTGGGAAGGAAGAAGTCATGAGGCAGCAAAAAGGAAAGTTTTAAATGCCCCCCTAGTCCTGGGAATAGGTGAAACAATAATGGGATCAGACAAAGGGGTCCTTCAGAAATTGTGGAGAGGGTTGAGGGAGAACTTGAAAAGAGGCAGGGTTGTTCTTACTTGCCATTGAGTGCACTGGGAGGACAAATGTTGAATAGGTTGCCTGTGCTCCAACACTGGATGTCTATAAAAATGGCAATGTAGTGTTAGACGAAGGGCCTCTACCAGGTTGGAAGAGGTATAGCAGCTTCCTGTGCCCACGGGGAACATAGAAATTGGCTAGCTATATAGCTGGGGGAGTTGGAATAGTTGTGCAGAGTGAGCTTGTGGATCCTGTAGCTAAGAGCTGGCCACAACCAACTGTGTCTGAGCCAGAGCTTAGAGAGGATCTATAGCTCTTTCTAGAACAAAGTGTCAGGCAAATCAGCAAGAAAGGATACTGGCTCTCAGCCCAGTCAAAAGAACAGACCACTTGTGGCTGCTGTGGTGAGCAAACACCACAGCAGACCAGCTGGACAGCATGAATACCAAAGAAGATCCAATCCACAGCACTATCTCACCATGAGGAATGAAGCCCTCTTCTCAAGCCTCCACAGGGCAGGGAGAAGCAGAGACAGAAAGAGTCAAGATAGGAGTCAAACTCAAATGGACTGAGTAATTTAATTTAACTCTTTCACTGCTGGAACCCTTAATAGAATAGAGATTCAAAAAGCAAAAACATCAGTTATTTAAAAAAAAAAGAAGCTACATTTTCCTTTGCATGTTTGAGAAGCAAACTTTATGTATAACTTTAGGCTATAAAGTTATACTTTATAACTTTAGTCCTAAAAGGACACTCTATCTGTTTCTGTTTGGGCCCCATTACTTATGCTTCGTGAAAGCATGAGTTGCCTCATTCACTGTTAATTCCCAAGCATCTGGTTTAGAACATAACCCATAATAGACACTCAAATGATGTGGAATAAAAATATTTGAAAATCATATATCTGATAAGGATTAATATTCAGAATATATGAAGAACTCCTTCAACTCAACAATAAAACCGACAATTTTAAAAATGGGCAAAGGACATAAATAGATATTTCTCCAAAAATATATATATAAATGACTGATAAATCACCAGCACCAAATGAAAGATGCTCAACATCACTAATCTTTAAGGCAATGCAAATCAAAACCATAATGAAGTACCATTTCACACTCAGAAGGAAGGCTATTGTCAAAAACAAAAGAAAATACATGTTGGCAAGGACATGGAGAAATTGAATTTGTAGTTCTTTTTTGATGGAAATTTAAAATGGAACAGCCACTGTAGAAAACAATTGGTAGTTCCTCAAAATGTTAAACATAATTAACACATGATTCAGCAATTCTACCCCTAGATATACCCAAAAGAATTGAAAGCAGAATCTTAAACAGATACTAATACACCAATGTTCATAACAGCAGTACTCACAATACCCTAAAGAAACAACCCAAATTCTCATCTATGGATAAAGAGAAAAACAAAATGTATTATATGTGTATAGTGGGATATTATTTAGCCTTTAAAAAGAATGAAATTCTGAAAACATGTTAC